TCTGTATGATGTATTTTACACATGAGAAAATATCTGACATTTAATATCAATTTTAGCCATTTCCAGTCTGAGACAGATTGTCAACTAATAACACACAGAATTATTAAAATCCCATCTTTTTCTTCCTCATTCACCTTTTTTTTTTTAAACTCTCCCTTCCTCTTCTTCTTCATTCAATCCATCCTTTGAGCTTTTCTGTTTTTACTTAATTTACATTTCTATATTAACAAGTCATGCTTTAAAGATGTAGATAAAAATAGAATTGTCATGTGTAAAGGTGTTCAGAGGGGTGCTGCGTGCGTAATATGCGCCCGTTTGAGAATGAAGTTTTTTCATTAATTGATTCAACTTTCCTATATTTTTTACCTTTCCCTCGTCCTTTTCCTCCATCTATTTACATCCTCAAATATTAAAATGAATATAAATTCTATGGTCACAAATAAGAAAATAATTGTACAACTGAGAAAAAATTATGTGTTAATTTAGTTAACATGACAAGATTCACACATGACAGATAACTGACCTAATCTCATTAGGGGAGATCATAAGTTATGACTAAACACATGAAACTAGTTCAAAGTTAAAACATCGGACTTTTTCATGCCTTTTTTTTGCCTAGGTTAGGCTGCTCAGTTTCATGAGACACTGCACAGTCTTACTAATGTAGAAAGTCTGTAAACACAATGTATACAAACTTTTAGACTATGAGGCATACCAAGAAGGTGGAGAGATAGTGAAGTAGACTATGAGGCATACCAGTGGAGAGATAGTGAAGTAGACTATGAGGCATACCAAGAAGGTGGAGAGATAGTGGAGTAGACTATGAGGCATACCAAAAGAAGGTGGAGAGAGAGTGGAGTAGACTATGAGGCATACCAAGAAGGTGGAGAGATAGTGAAGTAGACTATGAGGCATACCAAGAAGGTGGAGAGATAGTGAAGTAGACTATGAGGCATACCAAGAAGAAGTGGAGAGATAGTGAAGTAGACTATGAGGCATACCAAGAAGACAGTGGAGAGATAGTGGAGTAGACTATGAGGCATACCAAAAAGACGGTGGAGAGATAGTGGAGCAGACTATGAGGCATACCAAAAAGACAGTGAGAGAGAGTGAAGTAGACTATGAGGTATACCAAGAAGGTGGAGAGAGAGTGGAGCAGACTTTGAGGTATACCAAGAAGATTGTGGAGAGATAATATACATGCAGACCTACAAGCTGCTCAGTCAACTACTTCAACTCCTCTTTTACCACTTCGGGTGTCAAGGGGGATATAAGGTTCTGCTTCTAGCTATTCTGGCTGCCTCGACCATAGACACATCATGCTGTTGCAGAGTTTCTGATGTATAATATAATGTTCTGTTGAATGCTGAATTAACAATAAACATCAGTGCATTCTCATAAGCGTTACGCCACCCTCTTCAGTAGCAAGTGCACGGTTCTAATTCTGATTGCACCGGTAACAGTCTGATTTTATAGTCATCTAGCCCCTTTGCTGGTCACTCCTCACAGCACCCTTCTACTCAGACCATAATGATCTGTATGCGCCTCTGCACTGTTCACTAGCCCCCAAAAGACCCTTACAATATCTAGCTTGTCATGTATCCAGTACCATAAAATAGCACAGAACCAGCAAGTCTCTCTACCTTTTCATTTCCCTACACCGGCATAGCCTAAAGAAAATATCTGAAGGACATTAACTACCCGGGACCTCTGAAGCAGTGCTTCCCACTCTGCATGGGGCATTCCTATTTCCACCTTTTTCAACATGCTCAGTAAGTCAATTACAACTGGCACAAGTGTGTAAAGCTAGTTTTCTAAAAAGATGATGTTACTCAAGTTACTCTAAAAGATCAAGTGTATAATAGAAAACCGTTAACCCCCCCCCCCCAATCTACTTGACCCTGGCCAAAAGTTACCCAAACAGAAGAAGAAATGTCTGGACATAATATAATTCAAGCTAACAATGGCTTACAAGAGAGTTACAATGTGTAGATCATTTCCATCCTCAGGGTTTATTTCGGACAGGGCAAAGGATATGGAATTATCTGCCCTTATTAACAATTTTATTTTGTAAATTAGTTTATTTTGGACAGCACAAACAACACAGAATTAACTGCCATTGCCAATCATTTAATCTTCTAATGGTTCATTTTGGACAGTACAAATAACACATAGAAACTGCTCTTGGAAAAATTTCAACTTGTAAACTAGTTTATTTTGGACAATACAAATAACATTTAATTCTGAATGGTTTACTTTGGGCAACACAAAATAACATTTAGTTTCCGGCAGTAACACCATTTTTTCCTGTTATGTCTTGCTCATTGATATGTACAGCCTCGCATCCACTTGTGTCTTCACTCATCTGCAATATGTACAGCCTTGCATTCTCTTGTGTCTTCACTCATCTGCAATATGTACAGCCTCGCATCCACTTGGGTCTTCACTCATCTGCAATATGTACAGCCTCGCATCCACTTGTGTCTTCACTCATCTGCAATATGTACAGCCTCGCATCCACTTGTGTCTTCACTCATCTGCGATATGTACAGCCTCGCATCCACTTGTGTCTTCACTCATCTGCAATATGTACAGCCTTGCATCCACTTGTGTCTTCACTCATCTGCGATATGTACAGCCTTGCATCCACTTGTGTCTTCACTCATCTGCAATATGTAGAGCCTCGTATCCACTTGGATCTGCACTCATGTGCAATGATATGTACAGCCTTGGGTCTGCACTCATCTGCAATATGTAGAGCCTTGCATCCACTTAGGTCTCACCTCTTCTCATGTCAAATCTGTAAGACACAAAAGCAAAGATGACTCACACATCAGGGCAGGGTCCTTCTTCTGCTTTCAGTCTTAAAAGGACAGCTGGCATGCTATGTCAAGATTTTCAGCTAGGCTGTGATATCTGCACCTTCGGGCACAACACATCTCATTTCTGCAAAACCTCTTAGTCACCTTTGACAACATGCTTGCTAGAAACATGGCAGGGTCATGCAATAAGAGCTACCAGCCATTTCAAAGTGATACTACAGGGCTTGGTAGAGGGGAAGAAGAGAAGAGCCACGTGAACAGAGACCTGCCTGACTTGAAAGCTTCTTCTTCTTTTTTGTTAATCGGCTGTAAGCTCCGGCAGACAATCCTGGTTGTTCGTTCATTTTGACTTTGGCTTTGTGCCACGGTCTGAGTTTTGCGTGTACATCTGTTTTACAGGCTGGTTGTTCCTTGCTACTCGGGCACATGCATTACGACTTAGAAGGAAAGTCCCCCATTAGTCAACTCCTACAACATGCTTGTTTGGGAGGAAGTGGGTCTATTCTTGTTTTCCCCCACAGCGGGGCCCCAGAAAACTTGAAAGCTAAATATGTCAACATTAAGCCCACTACATCAGATCAAGAGGGGGGAGGGGGAACTGATCAGTCAACAGCAGCTAGTGGCAGGTAGCATCATCATTTATACAGATGGCTCAGTGACTCGTGCACTTTCTGTGTGGGCATATATAACACAGGTGAATGGAAAAATAGTAAAAGAAGAAAGTCAAGCAGTCTGTTCAACTACTTCTAGCTTGATGATGGAGACAGCAGCTGTCACAGGGGCACTTGCATGGCTGGCGGAACAGAAAACAACTCACGCACTGATAAGTGACAGATTCAATGAGCATGCTTAAGAAGATCCAAACTGGCAAACTCTGACTAGAAAAGACTGACAGCATCCAGAAGTGCCGCCTCAAGAAACTATGAAAGAGCAGCCAGACTGGCCAAGTCCAGGGAGAAGTATCATCAGGGCAGACATAATGAATGTGCTGCATTCCTGAGATGCTGAGACAACAGAGCCAGAGACGATAAACAGCCTATTAGAAACAGGTATTAAACAAAGGCAGGCATGCAGAAACTGGTTGCGGCACAAAGAAAGAAGATATGCCAATCAGCTTCTCCTGGGTACATTAAGCATAGAGATGTTGAGATGGCTGCTGCGTCAGAGGATAGAGCACGAATGGGTTCAAATGACATCAATACGGCAAGAAGTAACAAGCAACTGGTGACCCAGCGATACACCAGTGTTATGGAACTATCATGATGATGCTTACACTTCTTAGGAGGCATGGGTTTGTTATTCTATCCGCTCTCCCCTTTACCCCAGATGGAGTGTCAGGACCTACCCCCACTTGACTTGATATGAAAAAAATAATAATAAACTGGGACTCTTCAAAATGACCTGAGGGCCTTCTTTATAATTGAGTCCGTTGTTTGTGAGCAGTTTTGATAGTCCTTCCTTTTGGTGCGTATTGGTCCGCATGACCGTCCTTGGTTGGTGCATGGATGCCACCGGTTATTGTGCTGGTTCTGTTGTTTTCTGCTGGGTGTCAGTTACGCTGTCAGTTCTTGTACCAAGGCTGCCTCCCGGTTCACCTCACCGAAGCAAAAGAGCTTTCCACTCTGCGCCCTCCACACGGCCCTTTTTGAGGCCCCACATTTAACTTCTTTTGGTGCTTTTATTTTTTTCGCATTATACATGTGTATTTGCGTTAGCTGTGCCAGTTTTTTTTGGGGTTTTTTTTATCAGTGGCAGGCAGATTTATATTTACCTGACCAGCATGGCTTTGGACTCAACCGAGTGTCATAACATTTTCATCACATACTCTGCAGAGATATCTGGGATGTATTTGTGATGGAGGCAAACTTACTATTAACTATTTTTGGGCCAACTTTATACTACTAGTGTCAAACTGGGACACTTCCTAAAACTGATGGCTGCAAAAACATAACCCGGATGTCTCAAAAGAGCTATCGATGTAACAAGAATACACTGTACCCATAATTCTAGTTAATGTGAAGCCACGAAGGCCTAAACTTATCTTTATGACACAGGATGATGATAACAGTAATAAAACTGGCAGCACCTTGTAAGCTGTTAAATTTTTTTTCCTTTTTTTTAAATTTGTAATATTTGCAGGTTATAACTTGTTTGTAGTCTGTAATATGTCCGTAATCTCTAACTATGTAATAAATCTACTGATTTAATTAAGAAATATGAAACTGAAAACAAGGAGGTAGTACTCACCAGTTTACTCTGAGCTTCTAGAATCTGCAACAATAACTGCTGAACTGGAGAAGACAAACACAATGGAAAGAATTCAGTTTCAGGCATATCTATAACTATCCACTTCAACATCGTCATCATTGGATTGTTAAATCTCTTTGGGCTGTCATAAGCTTTGAAATGCAATCTTTATTGTGAATTCCGGTTAAGCATTAAAATGCAATCTTTACAGCAACTTTAGGTTGTCAGTCAAATTTGGACATTAACCAAAGAACATTAGAGAAAAACTAACCGCCTGTGAAATAAGAAGTTTGGAAAAGACAGCGAACAAAGTCAGAAAAGATCATGTGATAAAGAAGAAGAAAAAATTATAAGAACTACTGGAACATTACCCACTGTTAAATTCAGTGAGAAACAAAGACTGAAATGGTTTGGCCGACTAGTGAGAATGAATCTAACAATGCTGACAGCGACAGCATATAATATTAACAAGGCAGCACTAAGAGACAGAGGGAGATCTAGAAAAAATGGACTAAAGGAGTCACTGACAACTAGGCATTCACAATACCACAATATATAAAGACACAGAAGGATACCTAGAAGAAAATGGACTGCTTGTTGGGGGGAGGCAGAGGGTCCGTTCTTGTTTTTCCCATGATGGGGCCCCGGAACCCACACAGGGATCATCGCAAATGATGAATCATCCAAAAGTAGTAATGATCAATGACTGAATATGAAGATGACTAATGAGTCCAATCTGAGCCTGGAAAGTTCTTGAGCTGTCCAGATAACAGATGGAAGCACCAGTACAGGTGGAAATTTCTGTACATTTTTTTCTTCTAGTCTGCCTCTGTTCCTCTGACAGTGCAACCTTCCCTGCCTGGCAATCTGATGCACCAGGACTGAGAACTGTTTGCCATCCAGATGGGTCTTGTTTAACAGCCTCCCCTGTTTCTGTCTTAATGCAAAAAAATGTAACAGCAGTTTAAAAGTGGTCCTTATAACATCTTTCCCGGGATTTTTTTCTATGCTGCACATCAAATAAATAAGAAGTACTTAATTTACAAATACAATTTGACTAAAAAGTTCAACGAAGGTAATAGAAAAACCCACACAAATACAACCAAACGTTGTGACCAAAGTCTTTATCAACAGAGTACTAAATAAAACACAAACTGCGACTGAAAAACTGAACAGACAAGAACAGAGCTTCTATACCACCATGGTCAACATGAAACTGAGAAATATGTCATGGGGGAAAATGGGGGGGGGGGGGATTTATGGACAGAAATGGCTATTACAAAACGAAATAAGTGAGCAGGCATTTGAAAAACAAAAAATAACAACAAAATAATGAAAGAGGGGGAGAAATATAAACAAGTTTAAGAAATTAATTAATTTATTTAATTAAACACACATGTGTTAAATATTGATCCCTCAAGCATATATAATACAAGAGTGATAACCTATGAAAGTAAAAACTGTATAACGTCTGCTACTTGTAAACCAAAAACAACCACCATTACTGTCTATATTTATCACTGTTGAGGGTGGTATAGGACAGGAACTGGGGCTTGAACCTTTGGATTTAGGGCTGCTTGGCTAGTGCAGTTACCACTGACTGTTCAGATAAGGATTTAATTTTTGCCTATGACAGAAAAAATCCATCATAAATTTATTTTCAAGCCTGGGTCTCATAAATGAGAGCCTAGTATTCTTAACCACTTGGCCAGCTGCTTCTCATTACTTGTAGAACAAATATACAAATGAAACATTGTATAGGGTGTTAGTAAAATCTCCCTACACTTTGTACAGAGAAAAAATTTGAAAAACTCCAGCATATGACGTCATTAAAAAAAATGTGCTAAAAGAAGTTAGTTGCTGTGGTCTAATGGGGTTCTGGGGCAAGATAGAAAGAATCAATGAAATATTCATTTAAACAGATTCACTTCAAGACATGACTGTACACATCCCTTCATATTATCAAACACCTTCTGCAAAGTCTCTTGTTATTTCTTGAATGGTAATTCTGAATGCTTACGTTGATAACACGATTCTGCTTAGCGTGCAAAGAATTCGCCAGCAGACGACAGCATACTGCTTAGCGATTGACGTTGGAGCATATTTTTTTTAATGATTTCATGTACTTTTTTTTTTTTTTTACATTTGTTCTACATACAAGTCAGCGTCTGTGGCTTAGATGTCGTGAACATGCTTTGTAATGCCAGGGTGTACGGCGGTTTGTCTTGCGCTGGTTTCGACAGTGGTACCTAGAGCTGACCATCAGAAAGCACTGCAAACTACTGAACGTAAACTTGGCCTAGAAAAACCGCAACAGCCAAAAAATGCTGGGGTTGGTTCTAGTAGTAGTAGTAGATTTTACCCCACTAGGACATCACATAAGCGATAAACACCTGATGACACAAAGTGCCACCATGTGGATGAGGATCACCCGTGGATAGGTCCCGGAAACTGCTTTCAATGATTAGGCCATATTTATGGCCAGGCTATATTGCGGCCCCCGACAAGAGCCAGAGTTGGGCTTCAAAATAACGAAAAATTGCATCCCACGAGGAGATGACGTAACACATAATGTGGTTGGTTCTGCAAAATCCTGTGAAGGATACTCAACTAACTCTACATAAAAAGTGAAGTGAGACTTTACAAACACCCTGTGTTTAAAATCAGGAAAAGGTGTTAAACTTACTCTTATCACCCCCAGCAGTGCTCTGAAACATGGCAGGATCAACAACCAGAAAGAAAGGCGATGATGGGACTGAGGTGGCCACAGTAGAAACTAGGTCCTTGTGACTAACAGTGGGTCCTGCACCAGTGGACAGTAGGTCTGTGTGTCCAACAGTAGGTCCTGCACTAGTAGCTGAGACCACAGACATCAATGGGTGGCTCTTACTTGAGGCAAGTTGAATGGGAGAGCTGTGTTGTGTATTCAAGTTGTCTGGAACTGAGGACATCATGTATCTTTTAGTCATGAATAGTGGCTTAAGTGATACAACGAATTACTACATGCACTTTAAAAAAATGCCTGGAAATGGCTAATGAAAGTAGAATATGATATACAACAATGAGAAGGAGACAGACAAAAGTTCTCTGGTCATGTGATGAGAAAAGGAGCACTGGAAAATATTGTAATGACTCAAAAGATTACTGGCAGAAAAGGCAGAGGCAGACCAAGAGAAATAATTGTGGATGGTTTAAGACAGTAGCATGGAGGAATATCATCAGGCAAATTGATCTAGAACACCAAAGACCGAGATCTGTGGTATGCATGAACACCTACGCCAGCTGGCAAGGCTCTTTATGATGATAATGATTTTTTTTTTAAATGCTTCATCTAATGAACTACTTCTTCTTCTTCGTGTTCACCAGCTGTAAACTCAGGCGGAAAGTTCTGGTTGTTCGTCCACTTTTGGACTGCAGTCCTGTTCCAGAACCCAAGTGTTGGGTGTGCATCCATTTTACAGATCTGACTCATTTGTATTCAGACTGCTGGTTCCTTGCCTCTCGGACAGATCCACTCCGACTTCGAAGGAAGCTTCCAATATTTTGACTCTTTTGGGTAGGCAGTGGGTCTATTCTTGTTTTCCCTATAATAGGGCCCCAAAACCCACACAGGGAATCTAATGAACTAGATGCCATCTAAGGAAAATTATGCTTTAGTAACAAATGTAGGTTGTGTATTAAATTAAGAACATTTAACAATATCAACCAGAGAAGACTAAATCTGGTCATTAAGCGTAGTTAAATGTTACTGATACTATGTACACCTTTAGAGTATTTAGAAGGCCAGTATATAAATATATTAACTAAATATAACATTTAAAGGAATTTCCTTGAGAATCCAAAAGCTTTCCTAAAGCCAGGGTGACTTAAACTGTTCCTGCAAGCCTCAGTGATAGTCTCTATCACAACATGTCTTCTCTTTCTGCACTTCCTCTTTTACCAGTTGAGGTGTCAAAGGAGATAAAAGGTTCTGCTTTTTGCCTTTCTGTCGGCCTCAACCATAACCCCATCCCATTCTGGTAGTCTCTGATGTTATCTATATTCTGGTAGAGTTTCTCTGATGTTATCTATATTCTGGTAGAGTTTCTCTGATGTTATCTATATTCTGGTAGAGTTTCTCTGATGTTTTCTATATTCTGGTAGAGTTTCTCTGATGTTATCTTTATTCTGGTAGAGTTTCTCTGTTATCTATATTCTGGTAGAGTTTCTCTGATGTTATCTTTCTATCTTGTTCTTATTTTACCTCTTGCTTTACTTCTTTCGCCTCATTTTTGTATGCCTTATATTGCATGATATCACAGGACATTCTCTCTTAGTGTGCAAACCATTTGATTTGATGACAGCATAAGTCAGCCATTATTTGTTTTAGGCCCTGGAGAATGCTCTCCATTTAACACTTCACTCTGTTCTTTTTTACAGATTAATTACTTTATATATCTTCATATATTTCAAAACACAAACTTAAAACTATCTGGATTAAAATAATTGTAAAACAGTTTAATAGTTACAGTTAGTTGCATATCCTTTACAGGACGTTGCAGAACCAACCCCAGCATTTTTTTGGCTGTTGTGGTTTTCCTAGGGAGGTTTTACGTCCAGTAGTTGGCCATTGCTTTCTGGACGGTCGGCTTCTCGATACCACTGTTGAAAATAATGCAAGGCGCAATCCCAACGGGTTAACTACTTTTTCTTTTATTTTTTTGGGTGAAAGGGTTAGAGAAAAGACATGCCTGCTTGATTATTTTTGTATTAAATATAATACGTAAATGTATTCGGCAACTGTTAGGGAAACTTTTCAGGCATAAGAACATCATCTTAGTATATTACAGGTATCATTCTGTATCAAAGGTGAAAACAAGAAATTACCCATGCTGTTATTTGTAGCACTATTTGTAGCACCATTTGTGATGACTCCTGAAACAGTCTGACCCGATGACCTCTGCACAAACCCATTACATTCATATTTCTCTCCAAACACAGAAGACTGCTTTGACAATGGCCTTGTTCGGCTGCTCTTGGATGGCCCGGATGCAAATGACACTGAGGAAGGCGACGGAGGTAAAACTGACACCAAGTCTGATGACTCTGCAGTATTTGGAGTGAGGTTTCTAAGCACAGCAGGTCTGAAGCCTTTGAAAGTGGTTGCTGAGGGTGATTGGACAGCTCTAGTCTGCATGTCAGGGAATGTGTTGGCAGGCAGCTGGAACAAGCTGTTGGCAGAAGACTGAGCATGCGTTTGCTGGACCATGCGGTTCAAATGTAAGGCTTCTAAAAAAATAAAAAAATATATATATAAATATAAAATATATATAAAGTAAAATCATAACGACTATATTAGTCTATTTTTTCAGTTATAAATTATTTCTAGCTAATGATTCCCTTTTGGCTTTTTCTTACATTTGATAAAAGGTTCACGTGGAGCAAACATACAGAAAAATGTAGAAGAGAAGTTCAGGAGATGACTAGGGCTACTGAGAAAACTGGAAGGTACAAGCTGAAGAGCGAATGTGAAAACCCTACAGAAAGTTTATAATGGTTCGTACGATAAGACCCCTCCTGAAGTTTGGTGAACAACATAGTTGTCAGCTGTTAATTCCCATCTAAAAACAGACAGTGCAAAATCTCATCACAGGATCCATCAAAACTGCATCAATCCTGGAGATGCCGAAAAAAACTGCAATGTCATATAGAAGAGATCTAAAACTATGATCCAGATCAAGAAGTTTATGCAGTCACACCCAATAAAAGCAAGATTAGATATCTCAAAAGTAGTAGCTTTGTCCACTGAGGGAAAGACAGACAGTATCAAGCAGATCTATCCATGAAACCAACACCACTGAACCCTACCCTATACCCGGTACCTTGGGAAAAGTCCCACTGTGGTATACCAGGAAACAAAAACGCTGATAAATATGGTAAGAAAGGGACAGAAAGTGAACAGGTTTGAGGTTTGAACAATGAATCAACATCATGGCACACGGGTAGTAACCCATAAGTGCTCCGTTCTTTTTCTAACTCAAGTTCAAGTCCGAAGAAGCTCAGCACAGTGCAGGGGCTCTGTAGCACTAGCAAGGATCCTGAAATATTTTGGGTAGATTTTTAACTTAAAATTTTGCCAGGCAGCGCCGTTAGGCTACTCTTTTCGATTTACAACTGCCAGAGGATTTTTTTTACGTGCGCAACAATGCACACGGGCGTCCGATTTCACTACCCAGAGACCAGGGGGAATTACTAGAAGTCCAAGTCCACGTGAAAAAAAATCCCAGACCTTACCGGGGATCGAACCCGGAACCTCTAGCACTTGAGGCGGACACTATGCCTCGAGACCATGCAGCCCCCTAAGTAAACAGTCCATTTTATGGATCTGCCTTATTTGTATGCAGAATGTTGGTTCCTTGCCTCTAAGTGAACAGGAAGAGAATGCAGTAACATATTAAAAGGAAAAAAAGGGCCATCCAGTCTATTAGAAGTGAACAGTCTGGCCAAAGATGACCACCACTTTCTTGACCAGCATGGGCAAGTCACTATTCTACACCTCAGGACAAGATAAAACAAAACTCAACAACCCCAGGCTTTGTCTAAGCAGTTCCCTACTGTGCTCTTGTGGGTCTGTGTGTGCAGACTACAGAACATGTCCTGCAAGAATGTCCCTTGTACAGCCCATTCAGAAGGGAATACTGGCCCACTGGGCCAATGCTGTACTCAAAGCTGTAAGGAACTAAAAGGTAACTCCTAATAACAGTCAAGTTTATCAGAAGAACTTGTCTGTCTGTTAATCAGAAAGCAGTAGAAAGCAGCTTTTTCTTCAGTTATAAACTATTTCTAGCAACATGTTAGTTACTTTCTCTAGTTGCAAACTACTTTTAGCAATATGTTAGCTACTTTTACCAGTTATAAACTACTTCTAGCAAGCTGTTAGCTTTCTCATTATAAATTATTTTTGAGATGTTAATTATTTTCTTTAGTCAAAAATTATTTCTACAACTTTCATACTGTTAGTTTCTTTCTCCGGTTACAGTATATTCTATTTTCATCAACTTTCTTACTATTAACTACTTTTTTCCAGTTACAAACTATCTTAGCAACATTCTCACTGCTGGCTTTTTGTTCAGTTAAAAAAAAAATGTATTCTTCTTCTACTTCTCTGTCTTCACATTCACCAGCTACAAATTCCAGCAGAAAGCTCTGGCTGTTCATCCACTTTAGTCTTGATTTACAACTTGGGTTTTCTGTGTGTGTCCATTTTACGGATCTGCCTTATTTGTATGCAGAATGTTGGTTCCTCGCATCTACGGAAAATACACTTTGACTATGAAGAAAACACCATTAATTAGTAATCTTTTGATAAACACTTGTGGGACAGCAGGTGTATTCTTTTCTCTCCACAAATGAGGCCTCGGAACCCAGACACCAGCGGTTCTCAACCTGCGTGTCACGACCCACCCCTTTTTGGGTCGAACGACCCTTTCACAGGGGTCGCCAAGACCATCGGAAAACACATATTCACTGAAGTAGCAACAAAAATAATTGTATTTGGGTTGGGGGGGGGGGGGGGGGGTGTGACACCGCATGAGGAACTGTACTGAAGGGTTGTGGCATTAGGAAGGTTGACAGCCAATATCATACAGGAAAGTTAAAACATATTAGTAAAGTAGTGGTAGTAATTTAAACAACAATATCCTGTTCAGCCCATCCGGAGTACATTTCCTTTACTGATCAATAAAATCAACAAAAGTAAACAGAGATTGACTCACCAGGGGAGACAAATGGCAAAGTCCTTGCTGATGCACTTGTGTCAGTCTCCATAAGAACTTCTTGTTTCACAGGTGATACCATATGGTAAACTAATAGAATCACAAAAATACAGGATATGAGCATGGTTTTAACAAAGGTTTTGGTTCAAGTTATTTTATGGTCTTTGCCAGACATAGGTGTGAGCTGTGGTCTTTACCTGCCTAGAACACATGATCCTTGCTTCCACTAATCTCGACACACGACCTTTGGCCTTCACAGATCAGACCCATTATTTCTGACCTTCACCAATCACACACATTATCTCTGACCTTCAACAATACATAACCTTGACCTTCACAAATCACACATAATTGCTTTGTCCACAAATTAGATATTACTTTCATTCTTCATAGTTCAGACACAAGACTTTTGACCTCCATAAAACAAATCAGATGCATCACATTTTACCTCCATAGATGTAGCGGCATAACCTTTAACATCCAAAAGAATAAAAACCTGACATTTGACCACCACCATCCAGTCACCTAATAGCAACCAACCAGCCACTATTATCCAACAGATGTATGCATCCACAAGTAGCTGGCACCCAGCCACCATCATCCATTAACAGCCATCATGCAATTAGCACCCAGCCAACACCATCCACTAATAGCCAACAAGCAGTTGAAACCAAGCAACTATCATCCACCATCCACTAACAGCCATCAAGCAACTATCATCCACAATCCACTAACAGCCACCGACCAGCTACAACAATCATTATCCACCATCCACTAACAGCCAACAAACAGCTAGCACCAAACAACCATCATCCATTATCCACCATCCACTAACAGCCATCAAGCAGCTAGCACCAAGCAAACCCATCATCCACTAACAGCCACCCACCAGCTACAACAATCATCATCTACCAGTATCCACTAACAATCCACCAGCTGCCATCATCCACTAACAGCCACCATCCACTAACAGCCATCAAGCAGCTAGCACTAAGCAAACCCATCATCCACTAACAGCCACCCACCAGCTACAACAATCATTATCTACCAGTATCCACTAACAATCCACCAGCTGCCACCATCCACTAACAGCCACCTGCTACAACAATCATTATCCACCATCCACTAACAGCCATCAAGCAGCTAGCACTATTAGCAAACCCATCATCCACTAACAGCCACCCACCAGCTACAACAATCATTATCTATCAGTATCCACTAACAATCCACCAGCTGCCACCATCCACTAACAGCCATCAAGCAGCTAGCACCAAGCAAACCCACCATTCACTAACAGCCACCCACCAGCTACAACAATCATCATCTACCAGTATCCACTAACAATCCACCAGCTGCCATCATCCACTGACAACCACCATCCACTAACAGCCATCAAACAGCTAGCACTATAAGCAAACCCATCATCCACTAACAGCCACCCACCAGCTACAACAATCATTATCTACCAGTATCCACTAACAATCCACCAGCTGCCACCATCCACTAACAGCCATCAAGCAGCTAGCACCAAGCAAACCCACCATTCACTAACAGCCACCTGCTACAACAATCATTATCCACCATCCACTAACAGCCATCAAGCAGCTAGCACCAAGCAAACCCATCATTCACTAACAGCCACCTGCTACAACAATCATTATCCACCATCCACTAACAGCCATCAAGCAGCTAGCACCAAGCAAACCCACCATCCACTAACAGCCATCAAGCAGCTAGCACCAAGCAAACCCATCATCCACTAACAGCCATCAAGCAGCTAGCACCAAGCAAACCCATCATCCACTAACAGCCATCAAGCAGCTAGCACCAAGCAAACCCATCATCCACTAACAGCCATCAAGCAGCTAGCACCAAGCAAACCCATCATCCACTAACAGCCATCAAGCAGCTAGCACCAAGCAAACCCATCATCCACAAGCAGGCACTTATCAGATGTAAACAATCTCCAATAGCCAATCTCCCAGCTTCTATACTACAAAGCATCAATCTCCCAGCTTCTATACTACAAAGCATCAATCTCCCAGCTTCTATACTACAAAGCATCAATCTCCCAGCTTCTATACTACAAAGCATCAATCTCCCAGCTTCTATACTACAAAGCATCAATCTCCCAGCTTCTATACTACAAAGCATCAATCTCCCAGCTTCTATACTACAAAGCATCAATCTTCCACCAACTGCTGCCAGGAAACAGCTTCCACACACCACTACCACCCAACACCTTCTCAGTCCACCAAACGCCCCCAACAACCAGTAGATAAAAACACCATTTCTGACCACAACTACAGCCTTACCGGGTTTATATATAAAACTGTGAGGGTCACTCATCTTGCCCGCACAGCTGACCACAATCTGGGCTTCCTGCAGTGTCTTAATAGACTTGTCTTTGTAGGGAGGGATCTTGCAGATCAAATGAGTCTAAAACAGTGGGTCAGAAAAGAAAATGCTGTGCTAGCAATGAAATGATATCAAAACAAATGAGAAGTAGAAAAAGTCAGCTTCACATTATCACAATCAATAATGACAGGTGAACGCTTTGGTCAAAAGCCTTTATCAGCACATGCCATGGATAAACAATATTATAATTACAAATAAGAATAAATAAAACCACTTATCTGAGGATTCTCCATGAAATATCAATGTCTAGCCAGTTAACGCTATAAGAAGGCAGTTCTCAACCTGCGGGTTGCGACCCTTTTGGGAGGTCAAGCCATCCTTTCATAGAGGTCACTTAAGACAATCAGAAAACACATATTCACTGAAGTTAAGGCCCTTAGGCTAATGGAAGCCCATTAGACAGATGTGATGATTCTCGAGAGACATAGAGACTCTGTTATTGGAGTGGCTAGATTCGATAGCAGTAATCTTCATGCTGAAAATAGCACAGTGACCCTGAGAACTGAAATGCATCAGCATTAGTTTATGGCACTGTTCTGCACATCAGAAGGATATTGCCTGAACCTGTTAGCTAGTCATGGCCCTGTTTCACCAATGTTTTTTATACCACACCTTCCACAGATAATGCCATAAATGACACTGCCGCTCATGCAATCCCTCACGCATGTGGACAGTAGCATTAAGAAATGACACTGCCGCTCATGTAATCCCTCACGCATGTGGACAGTAGCATAAAGAAATGACACTGCCGCTCATGCAATCCCTCACGTATGTGGACAGTAGCATAAAGAAATGACACTGCCGCTCATGCAATCCCTCACGTATGTGGACAGTAGCATAAAGAAATGACACTGCCGCTCATGCAATATAATCCCTCACACATGTGAACAGTAGCATAAAGAAATGACACTGTCGCTCATGCAATATAATCCCTCACGTATGTGGACAGTAGCATAAAGAAATGACACTGCCGCTCATGCAATCCCTCACGTATGTGGACAGTAGCATAAAGAAATGACACTGCCGCTCATGCAATATAATCCCTCACGCATGTGAACAGTAGCATAAAGAAATGACACTGCCGCTCATGTAATCCCTCACGCATGTGAACAGTAGCATAAAGAAATGACACTGCCGCTCATGCAATATAATCCCTCACGCATGTGGACAGTAGCATAAAGAAATGACACTGCCGCTCATGCAATCCCTCACGCATGTGGACAGTAGCATAAAGAAATGACACTGCCGCTCATGCAATCCCTCACGCGTGTGGACAGTAGCATAAAGAAATGACACTGCCGCTCATGCAATCCCTCACGCATGTGACAGTAGCATAAAGAAATGACACTGCCGCTCATGCAATCCCTCACGTATGTGGACAGTAGCATAAAGAAATGACACTGCCGCTCATGCAATCCCTCACGCATGTGACAGTAGCATTAAGAAATGACACTGCCGCTCATGCAATATAATCCCTCACGCATGTGGACAGCAGCATAAAGAAATGACACTGCCGCTCATGCAATATAATCCCTCACGCATGTGACAGTAGCATAAAGTAATGACACAAAAGGGCTCCAGAACCCACAGGGGGATTTTTATCTTTTTTTTTTTTTTTTTTGATCAATGGCAACATGAGGCTCTTTCGCTTAAAGGAAGTGAATGTGTTTTATAATCTCACGATCCTTGAGATACTATGGTTCGCATTCTGCTGTTGAATACTTTTTTAATGATTCTCATGGCTGCTGGACAGTGGTATGAGAGTTGCACCATGGAAGAGATTGGGGCCTAACCACGAAATATTTTCAAAGACATCTGCGAGTGCAATGTAACCAGCCTTCAGTGTGGAGATGGCATATCTTCACCCTCTCCCCCCAAGACTTCAAGGGTTTGTTTTCCAACAATTTCACGTGTGGGTTCCATTGCCCCAGTTAAGAGAACAAAAATAATAGACCCATTGCCACCCTAGCAAGCATGCCATAAAAGGTGACTAACTCGGGGTGTTTCCTTCAAAATCAGAGAAGTGCATCTGCCTGAGAGGCAAGGAAGAACAGTACGTAATATAGATAAGCCAGATCTGTAAAATTGATGAGCACACGGCAAACTCAAGTTCTGGAACATGACCAGAGTCCAAAAGTGGATGACAACTAGAATTGATGAACTTTTGATGAACACTTAGAAGAAGAAAAAGAACTTCCCCAACGACTGATGTAACTCACCGGCTGGAAGTACTCTTGTTCAATCTGTGCTTCTGCCTGCCAGGTAACGTAATCATCCGTGGAGTCCACAGTCTGGAAGAGAACACTGGTGCCTTTGTTTCTAAAGTTCTTACCAATGATGAACAAGCTGTCTCCTCCATGCACATTGCATTCTGTTAGACTCATCCGGGAAATCTCAGGCTGGCCAACTGGTTGCGCTGTTGTCCAGAAAGAAGTTTAAGAGTTAACAAAGTATACTGATTTGAGACTAGAACACGTGAGAGGGAGAGAGATGATAGAGAAAGAAAATTAATGTTAGTTGCATATCAATGAGAGGACCTTGTAGAACCAAATCTATGATTTTCTGGCTCACTCGTTTTACTAGGCAATTTTGCATTTGACAGTGAGTGAGTGGAGTGAGGTGAGGTGAGTGAGGTAAGTGAGGTGAGGAGTGGAGTGAGGTGAGTGGAGTGGAGTGAGGTGAGTGGAGTGAGGTGAGGTGAGTGGAGTGAGGTGAGTGGAGTGAGGTGAGTGGAGTGAGGTGAGGGGAGTGGAGTGAGGGGAGTGGGGTGAGGTGAGTGGAGTGGAGTGAGGTGAGTGGAGTGAGGTGAGTGGAGTGAGGTGAGTGGAGTGGAGTGAGGGGAGTGGAGTGGGGTGGGTGGGGTGGGTGAGGTGAGTGGAGTGGAGTGAGTGGAGTGAGGGGAATGAGTTGAGTGAGTGAGTGAGTGTGTGTGTGGAAAGGGGGGGGGTTGGTCTACAGTCTTTGTTCAATTCATGAAAAGGAGAAAACTGTGAAGTACATCATGACAGTGAGTAAAGCTGCAGGGGGAAAGAGGCAGACAGAGACCCAGAGAAAAGATGCTGGACTGTTAATTACTCGGGGGTGCGGAATCTTCATTCTTTGTTTATGTCATCAGAAGGAGAAAACTGGTACTCCATCATGACAGTGAGAAAGCTGCAGGGGGAAAGAGGCAGACAGAGACCCAGAGAAAAGATGCTGGACTGTTAATTACTGGGGGGTGCGGAATCTTCATTCTTTGTTTATGTCATCAGAAGGAGAAAACTGGTACTCCATGACGGTGAGAAAGTAGCAGGTGAAAAGAGGCAGAAACCTAGAGAAAAGATGCTGAGTTATTAATTGTTACAAAATCTACGCTGGTGCAGATCTGAGCCTAATACCTTCACACTAGCAGGTAACTACTGTTCCACAGTGATTCTTTTTATATATTTTTTTGTTTGTTTATTGTGCAGAAAAGGTATTTCACACATGGTGGTCTGGCGTAGAACAGTGATGGAGGGAGCAGTTACTGGGAAAATGAGGCAGAGGCAGACCTCTGCGAATGTGGATACAGGGCACTGAAGATGCGTTGGGTATGAAAGTACATAGGGCTGGAGAATTTGCTAGAGAAAGAAAGACTTTCAGGTGTGCCGTGAAGACAGCATTGTTCTATAAAGGACCTGCTGATTGATTGATCGTACACAAAACTGTTTCTGAAAAGGATTCATGATGATTGATGACAATCCTAAATCAGACAAGTATTTTAATCGTTGCTACTCACAGAAGTTTTTCTAGTTTGTATACATGGTTAATTTTTTTCTCTGGCATTTGTAGCAAATTTGTGTTAATCAGAGTTGCTGCTCATAAACATAAAGATACAATTCTAATGTGATGACTAACCCTGCTGAAGGAAGAGGAAGAGGAGGGGCAGGAGCAGCAGCAGAAGAAGAGAAGAAGAAGAGGAAGAAGAAGAAGAGGAAGAAGAAGAAGAGAAGAGATGAAGAAGAAGAAGAGAAGAAGAAGAAGAAGAAGAAGAAGAAGAAGAAGAAGAAGAAGAAGAAGAAGAAGAAGAAGAAGAAGAAGAAGAAGAAGAAGAAGAAGAAGAAGAAGAAGAAGAAGAAGAAGAAGAAGAAGAAGAAGAAGAAGAAGAAGAAGAAGAAGAAGAAGAAGAAGAAGAAGAAGAAGAAGAAGAAGAAGAAGAAGAAGAAGAAGAAGAAGAAGAAGAAGAAGAAGAAGAAGAAGAAGAGGAAGAAGGAGGAGAAGGAGGAGAAGGAGGAGAAGAAGAAGAAGGAGAAGAAGGAGGAGGATAGGAGGAGGTGTGGAGAGGAGAAGAAGAAGAAATACCACAGATAAAAAATAACTTCTTTGGTACACTATTATTTGAAAGCCAAGTGTTACATAATCTGTTCCCATCATTATTGCAGACTACTGGATTTATATAAAAACTAACTGACACACAACGTTCGATCATTACCTACTGCAAGCTAAATGTTTTATATAACAAAGACTATCACAATCCAGATTCAGGATGCACTAATGAGGCAACACCCATAGATCAAGGCAGCCATTGTTGTTCATTGCTATTCTAGAACAACAACTGCTACCTAAGAGGCTGTGCACTAAGTTAAAGGAATGCAAGCCATTCAGATCGGTCTTGTGCAACAGCCTCCCTCCATGTTTCTGTCTGGATGTCAACAGATTTTAGGGCAGTTTTAAGAAGCAGAAATTAGAATCCACAGGAACATCTCTCATACAGACACAGTCCCAAAGATCTAATCAACCTTCTTAAAGGAAAGAAACAGACAATTAAATTTAGATTGTGAACTGGACACAAGAGACTTTGCTGCCATATGTAGAAGAAATTCACAATCAGGGACTCAGAAGTTTGCCCATATGGACAGGCACCACAGAATACTGAATAAGTGCTGCAGACAGTTTATTTTCCTGCAGTACAGAGAAACCTGTTCTGGCCCATTGGCATTCTGGTTGAAACCAAACTGTATGCATCAGTGGAGGAGATGCAGAACACCACATCCTTTATAGAGGCCTGTGGCCCTCTCATCTGAAAAATCACTGACAGTGAGACAAAAAAAAAGAAGAAACAACAGAATATTCAATGATCACTTAATACTAATGAATGCACACATAGCGGACTGTCATACAATGTTCAATCCTTACTGGAGATTGCTCGATTTATATAATAACCAACAGTCACTCAATTTACTACCATCCCTTACTGCAGACTATTTGACTTATATAACAATCGGGTTGTCACGTAATATTCTGCCATCACTTACTGCAAACTAGTGGATTAATATGTATAACAATGAGATTGTCGCCCAAAATTCTACCATCACATACAGCAGACCATTTGATTTATACAACAATGGGATTGTCACACAATATTCTACTTACTGCAGACTATTGGATTTATACAACAATGGGATTGTCACACAATATTCTACTTACTGCAGACTATTGGATTTATACAACAATGTGATTGTCACACAATATTCTACTTACTGCAGACTATTGGGTTTATACAACAATGGGATTGTCACACAATATTCTACTTACTGCAGACTATTGGGTTTGAAGCCACCTGTAGAAAATACTGACGCCCATCAGACTTCTCAAAGCTGCATCTCATCACAAGACGAGCACGGGTGTTTGTCTTTTTCTTGTCTCTTGCTCGTTTAGGCCCAATTCTGCCTTCCACGTCAGCATTCCTTAGTTTTAAGATGCCAATACAGTCTAGCCTACAATAAAAAGACGACACTTAAATATATGTGCTTAAATTTGTTTGACAACTTCATCATCTCTAAAAAAAAAAAAAAAATACATTTTTAAAGACCATCTTTTTAAATAAATTTATAGTTAATAAATTTATGAAATTGCCTTTCACTCTGAAATCAGTAAAGTTTAAAGAAGAAAAAACAAAAAACTAAAAATGGTCAAGTTATGCTTTTTCTGGATTCGACCTTAAATGGGTGATTGTTGCGATCTACAGCTAAGCTGTGATATCGGTCCCTTTCAGCTCAACACATATGATTTCATGAAACCTTTAACTAGTCGCCTGTTGTGACACACTTGTTGAGTGAGACCCTCCTTTCTTCCCCTACCAGGGGATCCTGGAACCAACACTGGGAAGTAAAAGTCTCTTTTTCCAGCTTTAAGATATACTGGGTATATGATGCTAGCCAAATTTTTTTCCAACAGAAAACTGGCTCTCAATGGGGGTTGGGGGTTAATATCAGACAGGCACTTTTACTTCTATGTCATTATCCTGGTACTCAATTTAGGCACTCCGGTCAATTTAAAAAAAACTGATGATAAATGAGTGCAAGAACAAATGTAGCCAGCAATGGACTCATAAAGCATGTTAAGAAAGGGGGAGACTGGCATGATCCGTGCAGAGTGGCAAGCATCACTTCAGAGGTCCTGGGTAGTTAGCATTCTTTGGACATTTTCTCCAGGGAATGCACAAGTGTTGGGAAATGAATAGGCACACAGACTGGCTGGTTCTGCGCAAAATGATGGTGAATTTATGTAAGGCAAGCTAACCGTGGTCACGGCCCTTTGAGGGCTAGTGAACAGTGCAAAGGCACCAACAGATCATCATGGTCCGGAGAGAATCATACAGCTGGGAGAGAATCATACAGCTGGGAGAGAATCATACAGCTGGGAGAGAATCATACAGCTGGGAGAGAATCATACAGCTGGGAGAGAATCATACAGCTGGGAGAGAATCATACAGCTGGGAGAGAATCATACAGCTGGGAGAGAATCATACAGCTGGGAGAGAATCATACAGCTGGGAGAGAATCATACAGCTGGGAGAGAATCATACAGCTGGGAGAGAATCATACAGCTGGGAGAGAATCATACAGCTGGGAGAGAATCATACAGCTGGGAGAGAATCATACAGCTGGGAGAGAATCATACAGCTGGGAGAGAATCATACAGCTGGGAGAGAATCATACAGCTGGGAGAGAATCATACAGCTGGGAGAGAATCATACAGCTGGGAGAGAATCATACAGCTGGGAGAGAATCATACAGCTGGGAGAGAATCATACAGCTGGGAGAGAATCATACAGCTGGGAGAGAATCATACAGCTGGGAGAGAATCATACAGCTGGGAGAGAATCATACAGCTAGGAGAGAATCATACAGCTAGGAGAGAATCATACAGCTAGGAGAGAATCATACAGCTAGGAGAGAATCATACAGCTAGGAGAGAATCATACAGCTAGGAGTGACCAGGAGATACGGCTGTTATTCTACACTTAGAAGAAAGGCAAGCTAGAAATAAATTGTATTTCAGTGTGGGGTCTGGGACCCCATGTGGGGTGTGGGGTCTGGGACCCCATGTGGGGTGGGGGCACTGGGCCTTAACATGCATGTCGTGAAAGTCAACTAATCAGGGGTGTATCCTTCGAGGTCAGAGTACATCTGCCCAGGGGGCCAGGAATCCACAGTCTGCATGCAAATAATCCAGAAAAATGGATGTGCATGCAAGTTCTAGACCAAAGTTCAGGAGTGGATGAACAACCAGAACTTTCCACTGGAGTTTACCAGATTACCAGCTGGTGAATGCCAAGAAGAAGAAGAATTATATTTGCATAAGAAGTCACAAACAGAAACAACAATCCTGCACTAAACGGAGGGAAAATACTCACATTCTTTAACTCCGAGTACCAACGGGGGGAAAGCCATACATTTTTGGCCAATATAAAAACAATATACTCTGCTTACCTGCTTTTATTATTACACAAGGGTGTCCCTAAAGTCTGGACACACAGGCAAACATACATATTTTCAATAAATTGAAATTTATGAACAACATTTTATTCAATTGAAATATTAAATACTGTCTTCAATTTGATTTCCATCATTAAGTTCTGGAACAAGATCAAAGTGCAGAAGTGGATGAACAACCAAAATGTTCGGCTGGAATTTACAGCTGATGAACACATCCCCCCACCCCAAACCCTGGTTAAATAAATTTTTCGAGATATTCGACAAATTCCATCGAGGCATTTTTTTAAACGATCTGGGCTTCTAGGTCGATGTTTCTTTCTTCTTCTTTATCTTCTTCTCGTTCACCAGCTGTAAAGAAAATTTTGGTTGTTCATCCACTTCTGGACTTTGGTCTTAGACCAGAAATTGAGTTTTGCAATCAAATCCATTTTATAGATCTGACTGACTTGTATGAAGAATTCTGGTTCCTTATCTTTCAGGCAAACACACTCCAACTTTGAAAGAAAAAGCCTAATTAGTTTATTTGTTTAACATGCTTGCTAGGGGGCCAATGAGTCTATCTTTCCCCCATCAAAATAGAGCCCCAGAACCCATTCAGCGAGGTGGATATTTAACACTTTCGGTACCAGCATAATACAATGAGAAGTTCTAGTTTAAAGTACCAATGTTCAAATCTAAAGAAATTAAAGTAATAAAATAATAGGCAGAAGAGGTAAAACTAACATTCAGATTAGCTCTTTTGCCCAGGTGACCCGGCCGCTGGAAACCCCTGTGACTAGCGGGGAAACAGTTTATCACAATAAAACACCCATTAATGCTATTTTAGCAACCGTAGCCATATGTGGACACATTAAATATTCACGCATGTGCAAATGAAATCAATGCTCTTAGTGAGGATTCTCATAAACAAGTTACTAGCCATGTCGGTTAAGCGGCATTTGTAAGGTTATGGCACACAGCAGAAATGCTACTTTTGGTGCTTCTCAGAGCGAAAGAGTTAATGAGTTTTTGTATCTACTATATGTAACATATGAAAAGTCAGAAATATATACTGTCCTTAGACTAGCTAATGAACGTATGAGTTAAGTGGTAGCAAAAGAGTTAAATGTAAACTCCCCACAATGCATCACAGAAGGCAAAAACAAGGAGTTGCTATAAGCAGGTGCCTTCAGCAGGCTTACAAGACAAGATGATAACATGAGGCAAGGCAAGATAAGATAAGACAAGATTATATAAGGTTAAGATAAGACAAGGCAAAATAAGATTATTTTTTATGGCAGTATCACTCAAGACATGATTAAAAAAAAGGCCAGATAATACAAGATTAGATAAGACCAGACAGAACAGACAAGATAAGTCAAGAAGAAAACAAGACAAAAGATAAGATAAGATGAGACACAGGAGAGAAACAAAGTAAAGCAAAGCAAGAAGGATAGCACAAGATTAGATAAAAACAAAGCAAGGAAGACAGCACAAGATAAGATAAAACAAGGCAAGGAAGACAGCACAGGATAAGATAAAACAATGCAAGATTAGGCAAAGCACAACAAGAAAGGAGAAACACAAGACAAGCCAAACAAATGTGATAAGACAGAACAAAAACAAGATAAAACAAAACAAATTAGGAAACACAAAACACAAACAACTGTACAGGTCGATTCCAAACAATAAGAACTTACTTAACCGTCATGTTATTCTCTGGCAACAGGTCTACTTCAAGAACCACTGTTCCTTCAATCTCCTGCTCCACACAGGAGGTGGAGTTTTTCCCGCTGACCCGACACGCCTGATAGAACCCATGAGGTTTGGCTTTGGCACCCTCATCTCCTATATACACCTGCAGCTTGGTAGCTTGACTGTATCCACAAAGCTGAACAAAAGATGAAGGTAAGGAAACAATCAACTTAGATCCAAGATAATTATATCGATAGAGATTCCTAAATTATAAATAAGCTTTTATTTCTGCACAAAAACCCTTACCATGGAGACTTTACCTTTATAATTGGATATCCCTGTTGGCTTTCATCCTTTATGGCTCCTCTGCTGCCCTCGGTCTGGTAGCGAGCTCGGTGCTGAGGCTCCGGCTGAGCTAGAATCTTTAACTCCACACCATCCACTTTACCCGGGTAGCTGGCTTTCAGACTGTGCTCCTTCTGTCTACGAGTTGTGGGCCTGACCGGCTGAGTGGGGACTGCAGACCTCATCGCAACTGCTTTAGCTAAGGGTTTTGAGCAACTGGGCCTGTTAGGATTTGATCCATCTTTATACTGTCTGCAAATGTTCCACAAACAAAAACAGAGCTGTCAGTACTTACATAGTTCCCTGGCATGAGGGGGTACAAGCCCTGGAGACACTACTGCATTCATAGAGAGAAAAAAAGGCCAGGCGAGCAAAGGCAAATCATACTGTAAGAAAAGTAGGTAATGACCCTTTTCACCCCGGGGATGCATCAGACATATGATGCCTGTGTACCAGCTGTTTATCCCCTCCAAGCTGCAACCTGAGAAGTCTGATACCCTGAGATCTGAATCTGAGAGACCATCAGGACCTGAAGGTTTGACACTGTCAGACTAACTGGGAGACCATCAGGACCTGAAGGTTTGACACTGTCAGACTAACTGGGAGATCATCAGGACCTGAAGGTTTGACACTGTCAGTCTAACTGGGAGACCATCAGGACCTGAAGGTCTGACACTGTCAGACTAACTGGGAGACCATCAGGACCTGAAGGTTTGACACTGTCAAGACTAAATAAGTCTCAGTGCTGATGGCAGAGCAACAAGGTAAGCCCAGATACCCCATTCAACTTCCAAGAAGTTATATTTAGGGCCACCGTAATGGCCACATAAGACCAGTGTAATTTCCAGTCCTGTGTGGGTAAGGATGTGGGCATATGATGCTAGAATCATTTTTCTACAGACCAATCAGCAATAAGTGGCATCATTTTGGCCATGTTTGCTTCTCAGGACTTTAACATTTTAGGCTGGGTTGATCTGGGAACTAAGGCTATTTAAAACAAAAAATCTGACTTGCTTCAGATTTCAACCCAAGAAAGGCAACGATGGGTATTTTTAAATGCAGATAATCGTAACATGGGGAAGTAAAGGCTACCGGTGTCGGTGTCAAACATAAGAAATAAATGTACAGTATGATGAGGTTATTTATGAAGTTAACATAATTTTTTTGTATGCATGTGTGTGTGTGTGTGAGAGAGAGTGAGAGAGAGAGAGAGAGAGAGAGAGAGAGAGAGAGAGAGAGAGAGAGAGACAGACAGACAGACAGACAGACAGACAGACAGACAGAAAGAGTGAGAGAGAGCGGGGGGACAGCAAAAGAAGACAGTGATAAAGACATGAATACAGACCAGCAGAAATAAAATAAAATCTACATTATAAAACATCAACACAAACATTTCGTATCATCATCATCATCATCAAGTGCCTTGCCAGCTGGCGTAGGCATTCATGCATCACTACAGATCTCGGTCATTGGTCTTCTGGATCAATTCTACTAATGATATTCTTCGATGCCACTGTCTTAAGCCATCCACCATCATTTCTCTTGGTCCAGTGATCTTTCCAGTCGTAAGGATATTTTCCAGAACTCCACATGACCAAAGAACTTTGTTTGTCTCCTTCTCATTTATGTACATAATATTCTACTTTCATTAGCCATTTCCAGGCATTCAATGTTGGTTATTCTGGCAGTCCAAGGCATTTCACACACATTTCATTTACTAATATATAATAATTCTTCTTCTTCATGCTCACTGGCTGTAAACTCAAAACAGAAAGTTTTGGTTGCTCATCCACTTCTGGACTTTAAGTTTTGTCCCAAGTTTTTACAGATCTAGCTTATCTGTATGCAGACTGTTGGCTCCTTGCCTCTCAGGCAGATGCACTCAGACATTAAAAGCCACTAATTAGTAGACTTTTAGGACACACATGTTAGGAGCAGCAAGTCTATTCTTTTTACCCCTATAATGAGGCTCTGGAAGGCACATGAGGACAACAGTTATTCTACTAGCATCTAATTCTGGAGATTTTCCTAGATGAAGAGAGGGGGACAATGAATAACAGAGACAGTGAGACCAACAAATGGACAATATCAAAATTTCATAAACTGATATATCTTCTTGTTCTTCTTAATTTGCCCTTTAGGAGATGTTGGCATTTGGCGGTTTAAAGCAAGGCATTGTGCGCCTTTCGCCCAATACATTTAAATTCAGAAAACCTCTAATTAGTCGCCTCCCACCATATGGCTGTGGGGTCCTGGAATGCACACAGGGAATAAACATATAAAATAGTGTCTCATTCAGTGCCAGTTCTGGGGGTTTTCCTAGGTGGAAACAAAAGAACGGTTTCTTGATGACTTCTTTAATTTGTTTTAAATATATTACATAATAATTAAATATTTTTCTTAAAGAATATTTTCTTTTCATCTTGGCTGGCTGTTATTCTTATTTTCCTTGTAAACTTCATATTTACTTTGATTTGTGGGTTAAAGTTTTCCCATGAGATGGGATAGCTCTCCCCAGGGTCAACCGTCCTAAGTCAACCCTCCTTAGTCAACCCTCCTAAGTCAACCCTCCTAAAATGACTGGTAGATTACAGTGTGTCTAGTCTCTGGTTTCCTTATGTGGCTCCATTATTCCTGTACAAATGTTAATCTCTCAAAAATTAGTGTGCTTAAAAGTTGAATGCACTGGCCAAAAAGTGCTCATAATGCATCTCATTTTCCTTCTCTTCATTCGCCTTTTAAGGACCTGTTGGTATGCTGTGCTGTGGTTTACGGCTATGCTTTTCAGCTCAGCGCATCCAATTCTTGTAAGTCCTTGGCTTGTTAAGGGGATCTAGGTATGTTCCCCCCCCCCCCCTTCCAATTAGGACACTTCTTTGTTAACTGACATACTAAACCCAAATATCCTTTTCAGGACAATTACAAAAATAAAAGTAAATTAAAATACTGAATTTAAAATATTGTGTTTTATTTAAAAACTTGAAGAGGTGGCATTTTTTTTTCTACAGCATGCCAAGAAAGAAACAACATTAACAAATACAAACATACTTACTGTGAATCATTTGTTGGCGGCGCTGTGCCAGAAGAACCAAAAGTAAACATGCCTGGTTTTTTCCCCTCCTTGTTACCAAAGGCAAAGGAAAAATTAGAAGCCGAACTGACGGCCCCACCGAAGTCAAATTTTGAATCTGGAGAAGGGGGCGGGTTAATGCTAGTGTGAGCATCAGCATCCACCGACGGTTTAGCAATTTTCATTGGAACATTCACATTATTTTCTCTGCTGGAGTGGAGTTCATCAGCCGAAGGGCGTTTGTGAAAAGCGTTTAGATCAAAGATAGCATTTTCATCGTCATCACCATCATTGCCACTGTGATGGTGGTCTGACTTTATCTGCAGACCTGCAGAACGCTCAATCAATGTTGACTGAGTATTGCCGTCGTCAAATGCTGGTGACGACAGAGGACTGGGATCTTCAGAGTCGGAGTGTGCTGGGCTGTGCAAACTGACGCTCAAGGAAGAGTGGCATCTCTTTCTTTCGGTTAATATTTGGGCCAATAAAGATGTTTGTCTGTTGGAGGAACCATCCACTGCTGCATGTGATTCGCTGTTTATAGGGCTAGGATCCTCAACTTTGAGCATACTTGTTGACTGTGTTAGTTCAGACTGGAAAATAGTGCTGTCCATGTCGACGTCAGAGTTCTTAGCCTCTGATGATTGTTGATCTGTGGATGTTAAGTTTCTAATTACAGCCAGTTACTTAACCAACAAATCATGCTCAACTAAATTTAAATTTGTTGGGTGCAGCAACAGACAGCTAATGAAAGGAAAAGAGAAAGTGATATCAAGTCTGTATGGCTGAAACTGCAGCTGATACTACTGAGGGCTTCAGGTTTTACACATCCTAAATATACTCGAAGTCTCAGCCAAGCAGTTCTGGCTGTTCATCCACTGGTGGATTTTGGTCTTGTTCCGGAGCGTGCACATCCAGATATTACAGATCTAGCTTATTTTTATGCAGACTGTTGGCTCCACATCTCTGAGGCAGATGTGCTCAGACTTTAAAGGAAAAAAAAACACATAATTAGTCATCTTTTACAACATGCTGGTGGGTCTATCCTCACCCCCCCCCCCCCCCCCCCCCCCCAATCCCCAATGGGGGCCCGGATTCCACAAGGAAAATGTTTGTAATCAGGATGGGTTTCATTTCCTCATGATTCACAGATAAGGATATAAATTTTGATGTACAGAACTGCACACATTAGGTACCATACTTGCAGTGTTTTAAAAACAAAATGTAAATATAACAGCAGAGATATCAAAACTATGGGTGATACATAAAGAGCAACAGAAAATTGTCTGGATGATATACAGTAAGCAATAGAAAAGGTTTGGATGATACACAATAAGCAACAGAAAAGATTGGATGATACACAATAATAGAAAAGGATTAAATGGTACACAATGAGCAATAAAGAAAGATTGGATGATACACAATGAGCAACAGAACAGGGCTGGATAGTACCCAATGAGCGATAGAAAAGCATAATACTACACATCCTTGTGAAATAGATAGGTATTACAACAGTGCAGAATTACAAAGTTGCCCAAAAGACAAGAGTAAATGTAAATACAGACACTGCAGTGTAATTAAAATGGGTCACAAAACAGGAAGTGAGGTTGCCGGCTCCTTTAATATCACCTTTTCCACCCAGAAAATTGTTGGGTACCCATTTTTACACTGATCCAAGAAACACAGGTTGACTGTCGTCCTGAAGGTCTTAAGATTCAAATCTGCACTGAGGCCATTTTTGTTTTCAAAACTGAACTTGGTTCCCAGCCTAAAATGGGTAACCAGGTAATATCCACATCATCCACTGTGGGTCAAAGCCAGTAAATTACATAGTTTACCATACTTAGAGAAAAAATGCCCTGTGAAGCCATACTATACAAAACAAACACCAAAAGAGAAGGACACACAGCAAGATCAAGATAGGAAGATAACATCAGAGAAACCCTACAACAGCGTGATGTGTCTATGATTGAGACAGCGAGAAGAGTGAGAAGCAGAACCTTAGATCTCCCTCGACACCTAAAGCTGTTTAAAAAAAAAAAAACAAGTGAGAAGGTGAAAACTGACAAAAAAGAAAAAAATATGATTCTCTAAAATCTGATAAAAATATACCCTTTGCATTGATGTTGCCTGCCTGGTTCAATACTGCAGGGGTGTCACCGACAAGAAGACTGTGAAGGTGTCTGTACTCACTCTTCAGACTCTCATTGCAAGGTCTGTCATTTCTTTCAGGCTGCTCCGCTGACTGCAAATGCTCTTTGAACTGAAGATAAAATGACCTCATTTGGTGTCCATCCAGTTGCTGATCCTTATCTTGTTTAGGTAACTGCTTCTGTTCCTCCTGCTTCAGTGCTGGCTGAATAACATTATGAATGTGTTGTGAGGATTCAGACTGGATAAAGAACTGGTCAGTATGGATATAGTTCTGGTCAGTCTGAGCTGGGTGATGACCATGTGAAAGAATTAGATGTTGTTGCAGTGGTGCTGAATTGTTATCATTAGGACTTTGATTCTCCTTCAAGAAACCATTAATGGTCCACTGCTGTTGCTGTTGATAGTCAGTCTGCTTCAACTGCTGTGAGATTTTATACTGTGTCTGTTGTTCATTGGTTTTTGGCTGTGACTGTTGTTCCAAGGGTTTTGGCTGTGACTGTTGTTCTATGGGTTTTGGCTGTGACTGTTGTTCTATGGGTTTTGGTTGTGAATAATGTTCCATGGACAGTGGATGTGATTGTTGCTGGTCTGTCTGGCTGACTAAAGGAATGTGAAATGAATGACTACCCAGCTTCTGCTGGTGCTCTTGATCTGTAAAGGTAACAGCAAGCTCTGGATGTCTCCGGGATGTTGTCTCTGTCTCAGAAATATGTTCAGACTGCTGCATTTTGTCTGGCAAATACTGGGTTCCATCCCTTGAATGCAGCACCTGCTGATGGGGATTCATGGCCCGGGTTGCATTGGGCAAGGTCATGCCTCTGACCATGACCCTTGGTTGTGTGTGCCTCAAGGAATGTGAGGCATGCTTTTGTAATACCAGAGGCTGAGGAGAGGAGGCTGCACCATGTGACAACTGATGAAGAACTGGAGATGAAGAGTGAGATTTCTGCTCAAGAATTAACTGCTGTAAGTCCTCCAAAGACATTACAATGTGGGGCTGGTTACTTGACGCATCAGCCGCTCCTGGGTCATCATTTTCCTTGGTACTAGAAAGTCCTGCTGACAAACCGAAAGAAATCTTTCCATTCAAGCTACCACTCGATCCATGGCCTGCATCTGCTTCCAGAACCCCAGGATCTTTGAGGGTGTTTGAATAAGTTGAGGTCATACTAGCTTTTACAAATGATGCTGATTGCACAGATGTTTCAGAATTTGGTGCAGCATCACAAACTGTGGTCTCTGTCAAATTCCTGCTCACTGTTGAATCTTCTTGGCTAGATTGAGGATTGGTACCATTCCTGATGGTCTTATTGACACAAGCACTTCCAGACTGACTAAGAGATGACAAATACTGGAGTAAATTTACTGCGGCACTGTGGTTCCCCATAGAAGTTCCAGAAAGCTGGTTTTCTGAGCTAGAAATAGCTGTTCCAGAATTAAATTGTGTAGCTGAAGGTGCAGTCCCAACAAAGTGATGAAGATTCTCAGCTGAATTCTTTGAACGCATCAGGTTTTGATGATCCTGGCTGTTAGCACTGTTACCTGAAACCGGATTCTGAAGAAAATTTGGAACTGTTATAATTGGTTGGTTAGTTATCAGATTTTCTGGTTGAAGCTGATGAGATTCAGCTGGTGCCTGGTTGCTGTTGAGCATGTTACCAAGCAAGTGATGATCAGCATTCAGATTTGGAAATGAAGAGCTGTTGGTCAGCATGAATGTAGTATTTGAATTGTTGTTAAAACTACCAGAAAATGACACATTTTCTGAAGACTGCATTGGTGATGACTCTGATATGCTGACTGCAGACTGTAGTCTTGGATCATCAGAACTGACGTTACTGCAGAGTGTACCATCAATCTTTGATGCCTCCATGTGGATGGTCTGCAGATCTCTGAAGGATGTCACATCTGAGTAACAGCCTGTAGGCTTGACTTCATCAATCAGTGAATGGGTTGCCTTACGAAACACAGTCTGTTCTATATTCGTACCACACAATTCCTGTGATAGTCTATGTCCAGCATTGATAATTGACATATGAATCTCCTCAAATGAGATTCTATGGGAGATGCCACCAGGATGTTCTCCGAGATCAGAGGATGTGTCCATAGATGTTTCAGTGTTCATCTTTGTCTTTTCTATGGCCGCAGAACTGTGATTCAGAAATTCTGAATCCTGCACTTGCATTGGCTGAGGAAAGGTTTTCATAGACATCTGAGAATCGAAGTGGAGATCTGTCATTTGGGAAGCAGAAGGAAGGTCAAAAGTGGATGATCCAAAATGAGATTCAGTATGTTGCCCCCCACACTGCCCTGAGGCCACGGTGGCTATTGATGAGCTGGGCTCATATGGTGCCATTATTTCAGCCGACTGATTCTGGTGAATCAAGTTTAAATGAGAAGTTGTTTCCTCAACTGGATTAGGTGCTTGAGAAAATATCAATGAAGAGACCCATTACAGTTGTTCTGTGGAGTTGTAGATGCATCTCTTTGAGCATCAAATCTGTTGACCATTGACTGAAAGTCCAAATGGGAAAATGAATGTAGATGCCCTTCCACTGATAACTCTTTCATAGTCACGTCAGCAGAAGTGTTATTAGAATGTGTCGATGACTTGACTGGATGAGAAGAATCTGAACTTGCGTATTCAGATATATCCTGAGTGCTGTGGATTTTGTTTAACAATACCAATTCTGTTGTATCAGAAGTGCAATTCAAGAAAAAGGAAGATTCATTTGGCTGTGCCAAAGAACTATTTACATAAAGATGCTGCTGCTGATTTAGATCAACAGCTGTAGCGGTCTCAGGAAATACAGCAGAAATGTTTAGAGAAGACACTGGGTTACCTTGGTAAGTCATCACATGTTGGTCTAGAGAATGAACAACTGTGGCACTACTGGCATGTGTCGAGCCTGCAGGGCTGTTCTGTTGGTACTTGTCATGGTTAACAGGAGAAGACTGATGAGAACTTTGTGGTTGCTGGCAGGAAGGTGAGCCCGAGTTACTGTGCTGGTAAAGCTGATGGTTTGGGCTTAAACCTGCAACAGGTGATGCAGAATTCATGATCGAAATCCTCAAGGCATCAGCGATGTTTGGTGAAGAATGACCATGAGTTGGAGAATCTTGATATTGGCTGCTCTGATAGGGACTGAGGTAGTTTGAGGTGTGATTAAAGTAGGCAGCATTTGGGCTTGGTGATGCAGATAATTCTGTACTGTCTGAATACTGAGTGCTGTTTGTTGTGTCCGAGTTTACAGAATTAACTTGACCAGGGCTTGTCTGCCCTTGGAAGTCTGCTGTTAAATCTTGTACTGATGAAGGTGTTAGTTCAGTCATACTTTTCTGAAAGTTCTGACTAGTGAAAGGACCTGAGAGGGAAGATTCACATGTGTTTACATGACCTGAGAGAGAAGACTCACGTGTGTTTACACATAGATTAAATGCGGTGGTAGCATGAGTAGTAACAACAGATGCTCCGTTAGAATTAGCAGAAGAATTCGATTCTGTGGTGTTCAGATTTTGTTCAAAATCACAACCATTCAGAAATCTGCTATGAGCAGAATCTTGAACATTATCAAGAGTTGTCAACAGACTGAAACTTTGTGAACTGTATGCCTGAAAATGCTGGTCTAAAGTCTGATTCTGTGCAGACTGGTATTGATCATCATTCGTGGGCACCTCAGCATGTTGGAACGTAACTTCAGGTTCATCCATCTGCATCTTTTCTGGCAGCTTTACCTGACTACCATCGGCATCCATGTTACTAACTGAAGTAAGAGTAACATCCATCAGGATGTATCCATGACCATTATGAGTGGTGCTGTGAGGCATCTGGGAACTGGCTGGTGTTGTGAAAGAAGAAGAAGACAACACTGAAGAATCCATGAACCCATTTGAGCACATTTGTGGGACATTCTGAAACTGTCCCGTGTCATTGTCTATACTGGGAAACTGGGCTGATTGAGGGTGACTGTACTGCCTGCTGGCATCAGAAGCAAAATTAAGCTGAAGTGGATCTTCACTGCGCTCACACTGGCTGTCACTGGCAGAAAGAAGAGATGAAACCTTGTCACTGTGATGATCTCTAGGTCTATCGAATGTAGAAGAGCTCAAATTCCCATCTGGAATACTGTCAGGGCAACTACCTTGATCGACTGAATATGGTAACAGAGAAATGTTTTGACCATAAGACTCATGGTAGTGTTGATAATCTGGATGCTCTCGATCCTGCATCAGCGGGTGTAGTCTTGTGTCTGCACTCAAGCTGGTGTCGCTCTCAGAACCACATACATGGCCAACATTGTTTAGGGTGTCTTCAGACTTGCTCTTAGGCAGAGGGGGCTTGAAATGACCAAGCTGGGTTAGATCCAGGTTGGCCTCACAGTTGAGGCTTTGCTGAACAGAGGATCTGTCTTCCATGGACACGGTCTGGTTGTCCTTGGAATCTGACAGGTAGTTTACCAAATCCTGGATCAGTGGCTCATCTTTAGCTAGGTAAAAAAAAACATAAATAGAAAACATAAACTTAAATAAGAGTACCTAATTATGAATTATCTAACTAAAAGAAACAAAAAAAGTATCACCACCCTGTCTTTCCATGGAATAACCAATCTTATATATACAACAAACTTTCTTCAGCAATGGGAAACAATGTTTTGAATTTCTGAAGCATTGATTCCTACAGTAACTGTAAAGTGACCGAATGATTGATTCAGTTTTGGGTGTGCTTTATTATATAATCATCAAGTGATTTGCCAACTGGTATGGGCGATCATGCCTCTCCACAACATGAGATCTTCAACAGAATGTATCAGTTTGTGTGCTGACACCCCTCCATGCCAGGACAAAAAGTTGCCAACAATCTTCTCACTCTGTCTTCCTCTGTCCCTTTTTTTTCCCCTCAGATCTTTCTAGTGGTCACACGCTGCTAATTCATTTTTTTTAATAATATGACCTTAAAAATGATGATTGTTTCTTTATGACATTTTTGATAAGTTTTCTTTAATCCTTCACCTTTTTAAAACATATAGGTTGCTCTTTTTGTTGGTCCAAGATATGGTCCAAGGAATTCTAAGGATTCTTCTGTAAAACCACATCCACAAGGCCTCAAGAAATTGTTTGGCTTATATATGATTTGTCCAAGATTCACAGCCATATTTTAAAACTGGCTCTAGACAACATGCAAGATTTATTTTTTCACAACCTGAAGTGACATGGATTTATCGCTATGGACCTTCTTCCTTGCCTTCAGACCCGTTGGGAATATATGGCTAAATCTGTATCTTATAGATCAATGAGCACACATTGGGTGATGTGGACAACATCATACTGCCCATCTTTACTTCCCAGGACCCCCGTGTGGGTTCCGGGGCCCCATTGTGGGGAAAACAAGAATAGACCCACTGCCTCCCCAAAAGCATGTCGTAAGAGTCGACTAATTGGGGAGCTTCCTTTGAAGTTGGAGTGCATCTGCCGGAGAAGCAAGGAACCAACAGTCTATATTCAAGAGAATGAGATCTGTAAAACTGATGCACATGCAACTCAGGTTCTGGAGCAGGACTGCAGTTCAGTAGAGGACGAGCAACCAGAACTTTCCGCCAGAGTATACAGCTGGTGATCGCGAAGAAGAAGAAGACTTCCCAGGACTTTACCTGGTACCCATTTAAGGCAAGGTCAACCTGACAGATAGGGTAATATTCAAAAAAAAATTTTTGATAAAATAAAAAAAATCCAGCTCTGCCAAGATCTGAAGCCACAATCTTCAGATCCACAAGAGAAGGTTTAGCTGCTACACCACGATGGCTCCCACAGCAGAATATGCCAGACAAACTGTCCAACATATTGCTCGCTGCCTCATTCATACACAGGTAATCTGCCAAACCAAAACCAAAAAACTGCCAATAACTGCCTTTATTACCACTTTTGCGATGTAGGCAGGGGGGTCTTTGAGCCTGAGGATCTACGGCCGCATGGCTAGCGCTGTCGCCACAACTGTGCAGATGAGGATTTTATTTTGCCCCCAACAGAAAAAAAATCTCCAGCCTGAGGATTCGAACCCTGGTTTCCCGCTTGAGAGCCCAATGTTCCAACCGTTCTACCAGCTCTCTTATGCAGGAAATCACTGCTTAAAAATTTTAGTAAATCAAGATGTCAGAAAGAGATGCTGTTGTTGGATAGTTTGTGTAGCATTTGGAAAATGGTGACAGGGCTTCAAATTAAAACCTTAAAAGTGCGATAAAAATTACAGCAGTCATGCATAGTTTTATCATCTTTCAATACTGCTGTTTTATGATGTCAAAGTGTTGAGCACGTGAAAACTTGGTGCTGATGAACACCGTGACATCATAATGACAGTTTAAAGATTGCCAGGCGTTGCGAAATCCCACTCGTAATCCAACGTACCGCGATCGAAACCCACTGTGGGCTGCGTGGATTTTTATCGTGGTATAGGACATAGCAGGTCGACCCAGCCTCAAATGGGTACCAGGATGGCTGTCCTGGGGAAGTAAAGACGGCCGGCGTAATGCTGACCATATTACCCATCCAGTGCCGATTGGTCTGTAAAAATATGGGACGCTCTGCCCATATACCTGATGCGCCTTAGGCGTAATAAGGGATCTTTACATTTTTTTTTTTACTTTTACCCCACTTATGGAAATGCACAAAAGAGGAGCAGCATTCTATTTTTTTCTCTCTTTTTAAAAAAAAAGGAGTTCCTATAATGAAAAATGAAATATTAAAAACTCAGAATATTTAACTCTAACACCAAATCAGTACTGCTGTATGCAGCAGACAATGAATAGTGACTAAAACAATGACTAATAAACTAAAAATATTCATAAACTGTTGGTTATGCAAAACAGAAAGGAAAGAATACCGTAAAGCCTTGTTAAAATGAACTCACCTTACACTTTCAGTACCAGAAGATATGGCAGTCAATGTACAAGTCGGCAAAAAAAGTGAACACAAAGCTAATTATAAAGGTTGTGGCAACTAAGTAGCCAGATTTCCTGGTATTCTCTGACCAAAATTAAAATGTAAGAGAACACATTATTCGCTGGTTCAGACTCGACAGGAGGATCCTATCATACAGTATATGTTAATTAGGACTGAGAGAGTTGAGAAGAACACCAGGTTAACATGAACATAATTTCAGTCCCAGGGGAATTCTATAATAAGCCCCCGGGTTCCCACAATTGTTTTTAACACAAACTGTGATTTTTGTTACCTTGGAAATTGTGGTGATGAGGTTTGACTGTAGCTTGAAAGAATTAACACAAACTGTGATTTTTGTGACCTTGGAAATTGTGGTGATGAGGTTTGACTGTAGCTTGAAAGAATTAACACAAACTGTGATTTTTGTGACCTTGGAAATTGTGGTGATGAGGTTTGACTGTAGCTTGAAAGAATGACTAATGTAGAAGACTTCTGGAAAGAATCTAACAGATCCCACTAAATTAAGAATTGTGGATAGTACAATATAAAGAATAGCACTTACGTTAATAAATGTTCTATCTCTGGAATCCACAGGGCAAAATAAATAATGGCTCAAGACAGATGAATTATATGAGAGGAGAGAGAGAGAGAGAGAGAGAGAGAGAGAGAGAGAGAGAGAGAGAGAGAGAGAGAGAGACAGAGAGAGAGAGTGGGAGAGAGAGAGAGAGAGAGAGAGAGAGAGAGAGAGAGATAGAGGGAGAGAGAGAGCAGGGTTGAGCGCATTAATGGGTGGGAGCTTGGAATTAATGGGTTGAAAGGGTGTATGCATAAATTGCAAAAGAAGAATGAAGAATATACCATTGCTTGTATTTTCCATTGCTTGTTCTATGGCTGCAGAATTTCTGTTGATGAATTCATTCAGTGCATCCTTTAGCTGGGAGTTCATTCCGTCCCCTGGAAGTACAAATTAGCATGGGTTAAACAAACACAATTAACACAGACTTTCTGACGAAGATAAATAGCCTGCTGGCAGATCTATGGATCTGTCCATTACAGTGGAAAATTTTCAGTAGGAATCAGTCACAGAGCAACATTACTAGATGACCTGTAGCAAATCATCTCCAGTGTGTGCCATTTACATTTTACTAGCTTTCGTCAGTCAGCATCAGTGGACCTCTGCAAGCTCCTGCTACTGCTGCTGCTGCTTCTTCTTTTCAACAATTTTTCATCTTTTTCTTCTTCCATCATCATCCCCCCCCCCTCTCCCCCAATCATTATCATCTACCTCTCTCCTTTCCTGTAAATGTTCTTTTTTTTCAGTATCTTATTCCTCCCCTTACACCCCTCCCCCTTTCCCCCCATCTTTATATTTCATATTTTATCTCCATCTTTATTCTTCTCTTAATCATCATCTTCCTCTTTCTCTTATTATTTCTCTCTCTTGCAGATGTCAAGATTGTGGTGCCACTCTTGCATATATATATATATATATATATATATATATATATATATATATATATATATATATATATATATATATATATATATAATATATATATAATATAAGTATATATATATATATATATAAAGTCTATAAGGGTCGTGAGGCCTTCTGCCATGTTCTCTCCCCAGTGTCTCTGTTACGAGGGCTGTGGAAGGAGGGAGGGGGAAGAAGGGAGGGAGGAAGACAGCTTACCAACAAAAGACTTGGCCAGTTAATTTTTCACAAAAGACTTGCCAGTTAATTTTTTATAAAAGATTTGCCAGTTTATTTTGTGTAAAAGACTTGCCAGTTTATTTTTTATAAAAGACTTGCCAGTTAATTTTTTATAAAAGACTTGCCAGTTAACTGTTCACATCTTGCAACCTGCCAGTTAAAATAAGTTCACATTTAACAACCTAAGACTTGCCAGTTAAAACTTTATAGCTATTAACATGAGACATGCTAGTTCTATTTTCACATCTACTAATATATGACTTGCCAGTTAAATTGTCATAACTATTAATCATTAACAAATAACCTTGCTAGTAAAAATAATTTTCCAGTTACCAACATAATACTCGCCAGTTAAAATTGTTCACATCTACCAACTCGGACTTGCCTACCAACATAAGACTTGCACAGTCAAAATGTCATAATCTACCAACACAAGACTTGCCAGTTAAAATGTCATAATCTACTAACATAAAACTTGCCAGTTAGAATGTCATAATCTACCAACATAAAACTTGCCAGTTAAAATATGTTGGCCTTAAGTAAGCCAAAACCAGGCTTGTTGTAGCGTCTGGTCTTGTCTTATACACGCTGCAGCAGTCACAGATGCAGGGCTGAGGGATGCACAACCAGACCAACGATTCTGCTGACTAGACACAACCGCCTATCTGGTCGCCGGTTTTTGAGGTGAATGAACTTTGTGTTGTGAAAGATATGCATGATTTCACTCCTGATCTAGGTCAGGGCATTCAGAGCATAGCCAGTCTCTTGTTCAATCTGCGCCCTGTCCACCATTCACGGAAACGAATACGACTTGATTGCAAATAAAAAAAATTATAATAATAAACTAATTATTTTCTTAGTAAAAATGTCTCTACTTTCTTTATTGCCTGTTCCGCTACATTCTAAGGCTGGGTAGTCGGCGTCTGTGGCTTAGAGGCCGCGAACGCTGTGAAAATACCTCATTCGATTCCAGCTGTGGGCGATATGGCAGCAGACTGCTTTGCGTTGATATCGACAATGGTATAGACTGCCGACCGTTTAGTAAGCAATGACAAACTACTAAACATAAAATTCCCTAGGGAAAACCACAAACTGTCAACAAACGCTGGGAACTGGTTCGCAACGTTATCTAAACTCTAAATCAAGTGTTTCTCAAACATTTTTTAAAACCGCGGCCCGCCAAAACAAGGGAAACCGTTTCGCGCAACATCTAAACACACACAGCCAGACATAAAAATGTTAATGGCAGTTAATTTTTTTTAAATCCGATATCAACACTTATAATTTTCAGCTAATGTGGTCAGGGCCGTCTGAAACAGCATTATGGGCCCCTGGGACCAGAATATCCTGGCTGTTCGTCCACTTCAGGACTTCGGTCTTGTTCCAGGGCTTCCAGCGTAGCGTGTGCATGTATTTTATATAGTTGGCTTACACTTGTATGCAGACTGCTGGTTTCTTCAGCCTGACGCGCTTCGACATCCAAGGAAACGTCAATCCTATCTATGTTGGCGTGCCTAGTGCCTCCCCTAAGGAATCTGTTTCTATTATGAACGCGAAGAGGTGCAGATAAATCTTGACCAGTACAATCCCTAGTGTGACCCTCGACTAGCATGATCTCTGGTTTGACAATTGACCAGTACGATCCCTAGTTTGACCCTTGACCAGCATGACCCTAGTATGATCATAGAGTCATAGACCAGTCTGACCACCGCGTGTGGTTCACCAACTCTACATCGCAATTTCAAGACTGCAAATTGTATACAGGCCCCGAGGAGCATCACTGGAGTTACATAGATCGTACTTTGTGCGACTCTCATTAAGCGACAAGATTCTCTGTAGAGAATACTGCGCCAAACAGGAGAAAACCCGGTGGAATGAAACGTGTTGACTGCTGAACATGGACAGCCCCCACGTGTGTCCGCGTGTGTGTCACATGTGCCTGCCTCAACAATAATTCAGAGGTCAGTTTGTTTACGTGAACTTTGCCTGACCTCCTAAGAGAGGTCGCGTTCTGATTGGGAGGTTAAGAGCGGGAGTGTTCGTTGTAAATAAGTACCTACCTCCACCACCCCCAGAACGGCAGCGATGCTTCACTTGAGCTATGTAGTTTTGTACTTGCAAAATTAATTTCGTTTCAGCTTCATTTCCTGTTTTTGTGTTATCTAGCAGCGAAATTAATGGATTTGGTACAGCGCGGCTAAACTTGCGTGGCAAGTACTAATTATTCAGATACTTTTCTGACTTCTTTCTGTGTCAATTATTCTGAAATTCAATCCTTGGTAGAAGAGTTAAAATACCAACAATCTGTGACAAAACTTCTGAACCCTTTTGAAAATAAAGTTCGTTTGTTCCTGTATTTTTTCTTCGTCAAGGTGTTTTTTGACAGCTTTTCATCTGTAATCTTATTTGGCCCAAATATTCGCAGGATTCTCTTAAGACACTCAAGTTTCTTGTTTATTCTGTCTACACATGACAGGAGTTGGGGGGGGGCAGAAGAACGTAGATGAGAGTGGCCAAAGCGCTAGACGAGATTCATTCTAGGATAGTGATACCGCTGCGAGAGACTGAGTTGATGATGTGCCGTGAACAATATGTGATGTACAAACGGGACTACAGGATGATGATGATTTACATCTCTCTCATCATCCCCGTGTGGGTTCCGGAGGTCCCATTGTGGGGAAAACAAGAATAGACCCACTGCCTCCCCAAAAGCATGTCGTAAGAGTCGTCTAATTAGGGCAAGGAACCAACAGTCTGTATTCAAGAGAATGAGATCTGTAAAACTTATGCACACGCAACACTCAGGTTCTGGAGCAGGACTGCAGTCCAGTAGTGGACGAGCAACCAGAACCTTCCGTCAGAGTTTACTGCTGGTGAACGCGAAGAAGAAAAAGATCTCTCTCATCAAACATGGACTCCGAATACAAGTTAGGAGGTTACACTATAAAGTTATAAACAATCTGGCTTAGGCGGGTGATACAGTAATGATCACTGAGAGAACATGAGGACTGTAAGTAACTATTGGGCATTTAAGTTTTCATCATGGCGATCATGGTGCGCAATCGTTTTTTTCTTTTCTTTTTTCAAAGTCCGTGTTCTTGCCCTACTTAAGCCGTGCGGCCAAGCCATTCAGATAATTATATAATTACTGTGGAACCTAATCTTCTAGGCAACTTTGATAAAGGTACCGGAATAGACCACGATTGGAAGTGAGAATTAAGACAGAAGGAAAGGGTGTGAAGAGACTGCACAAAAGTTGTGTACTTCTATACCGTGGCACTCCACAGATTACACTCTAAATGTAAAATATAGAATGGGGTTCATCACTGATCCTAAGATTGCTGATATTATTTTTAAATTAAAAAAAAAAAAAAACTATTTGTATTAAAATGCAAATAGTTGATGACAGCGGGTTAAATGGTTTGACCATCTGACAAGAGTGCTCTGGTATCACCTGCCACAGAGACACCCGCTGGAGACATATGCATAGGTAGTAGCCAGCCGCTTAAATAATGGAACGATACCACCTAAGAGAAATGAAAATCAACCAACAGAATGCATAACGAAGAGTAAGCAGAAGATGTTTGCATTACCCTCCCCAACATTTTAATAATGTAACAGGAATATGAAGAAAGAAAAATATGCTTGTTTTCCTTCTTGGCACTGAGGGCACGTGTGTGTGGCTATAGAGCAGTGGCTCTCAAAGTTTCTAATGCGGCTACCATTTGATACAGTTCCTTATGGTGTGGCGACCCCAAACCATTCAACTTGTTTTCGCTGCAACTTCACAACTTCAGTCCGATGGTGTCTGGCGACCCGTGTGAAAGGATCTTTCGACCCACAGGGTGAGAACCGCTGCCACAAAGAGATGTGGTCAGTAGATTTAATCTAGAACACGAAGGAGTTTCCACCGTGACTCACTCTCCCAGCCGGCTGCGCTTGACGTTCTGATGTATTCACAAAAACAGATTCCGGGACTTCTGCCAGGTGATTTTGTTTGTTTGTTTGGTACCTGTTTCCCGCCATTTACCCCTAATCAGAGAAACAGAGCGTGGCATTTTTTTTTTTTTACATATCGGCGTCTGCGGACGTAAGCACCTTCATGCCCCTTCACCCCTTTCCATGTGTGTGTGTGGGTGTATGTATGTATGTATGTATGTATGTATGTATGTATGTATGTATGTATGTATGTATGTATGTATGTATGTATGTATGTATGTATGTATGTATGTATGTATGTATGTATGTATGTATGTATGTATGTATGTATGTATGTATGTATGTATGTATGTATGTATGTGTATGTATCTATGTATGTCTGCATGTATGTATGTAGGGGGAGGCATGCCCGGCTCTCTAGCGAAGTTGCTTAAACCGGACTTTCGCGGCGGCCGGGTGACGAACTCCTTGTGGTCCGGGTTCACTCCCGGGGGAAGGCAGAAAAGCCACATTTCTCTTAGATTAACGGTACCTATAATGGAATCAAGGCCGAAGGGTTGCGATATCCATAGTACCGAGCCAAAGGGTTTACAACTCATGGTTTCTGGATACGTAAAAAAAAAAAAAGGGGGGGGGAGGCATTGAGCTCCCATAATTTTAGAGGGTTAAGCAGCCATAACATTAAAAAGAGGGCTAAGTCCACTATCTATGAACAGACGTGTGTGTGTATATATATGTATATAAATGTGTACTGTGTGTGTGTATTTTCTTCTTATCCGAACAATACTGATAATTAAATCTGATAATGCCTTCCACTCTCCTCCCTCCCTTTTGGGCATTTCAAATCTACTTGTAGAAACATGCTCACCCTGTGGCTTGTGTCAACTAGCACATGCGGTGATGGTTATTCACGAGAAATAGGGGCGCCCACACGGAGAAAATCATGGGGTAGGAGGGGGGTGGGGGAGTTTAGCACCCTGGTACATTTTAGTATGGGGCGGCATAAGGTTCTGACGCCCCATAATATCATCCGAATCACGGATCAGGCTAGTTTTCCAGTTGATATGTATTCCCTCTTATAACATGTTTGAGGTTTTGAACAAGGAATCAACATCATGGCACACGGGTTTTAACCCTTAAGTGCTCCGTTCTTCTTCTAACTCAAGTCCGAAGAAGCTCAGCAAGTGCACAAGCTCTGTAGCACCGGCGAGGATACTGAAATACTTCTTATAACATGTTCAAACAATGAACTGTCAAGGTTTAGTGTTTTCTATTAGTTTACTACTCTTACACTCATTTAATTTTTTTCCCTCCTCCACGCTTCCATTCTTGCTTCCTGTGTATTCCATTACTTCCACCTTCCCTCTTTCCTGTCTTATTCCTGTTTCTCTTATACCAAAGCAGACTTGCTTTCATCCCAGAAAGCTTGTCTTGCCATGCTGGTCCCCGACTAATCCCATCTCCCTGGTATAAGGAGCAGTCCAACAGCACATGGCCAGTTGTCACGTTGTCCGTCCGTGTCAGAAGGGCATTCATCGAGAGTCCCATTGAAAAAAATACTATTGTAGGCCGTACCAAAGCTCCGATATGTTATCAAGACAATTCTTTCAGCTACACAACACAGAACAGACCTCGGACGTTAAGAAAGGCCCCTTCCTGTCCAGTTTCTCGCTCATGCGAGACAAGTGACGCAGAGCCTCCGCTGTTCAAGCACGGGTGGAAATTTTGCGACATTTGCCCAATAACCCAAGTCATACATAAACAAAAACCCAAGACTGTCAGATAGTATAAATTTTATAGTTACGAAACTAAACATTTACCCACTTGTACATAAGGATATATATTTTTTTTTAAATCAAAAATCGAAACCCAAGGAGTCATATCTTCTTCAGCTGTAAACTCTGGTGGAAAATTCTGGTTGTTCATCCACTTCTGGACTGCAGTCCTGTTCCAGAACCCGAGTGTTGCGTGTGCATCCCTTTTACTGATGTGAATAATTCTCCCAATTAGTCGACTCTTACGACATGCTTTCGGGTAGGCAGTGGGTCTAGTCTTGTTTTCAATACAACAGGGCCCCGGAACCCACAGGAGGAAGGCGTCATATAAAGACCCAGATCTGGGGGCGGGGGAGGGGGAGACCCAAGTCTTGGCAGCCCTGTCTATTGAGGTCTGTAAAATCTGTAGCCCTTTTCAGAAACACACGAAAACAATGCTTGTTCTGACAATACTGGCTGACTGTTTAGGGTTATCTCCCGCTGCGGGACAGCTATTTGATTGCTGAGACCCCTGCGAACCGGGATGTCAGTGCAACAAGAATAAATCCCAGAAACCCCCGCGTGATTCATTCCGTCACAAAAGGTCATCATGCCTGCTGAGACAATGGTAACAACAATCACATCATCATGACTGCTGAGACAATGGTAACAACAATCACATAGGTATACACCTTCCTCATGGATCACGTTTACACTGTAATGGGCGCCGACATAAAGAAAACATGCAGTAGGAGTTACTTTTCTTTTAATCATCCCATCTCGGAGACTCCGTCTAAGTCCAATATTGTGGGGTAAGGGATAGTTAGTCGGTGCTCATTTCACATCCTAACACGCCTATACTACTGGACTTTCCCCAGGAACTCCACACGAAATCTCAGTGAATATGGTGAATTAAAAGAAAAGAACCAATGGGGCCGCTGATTTAAAAAAAAAAACGGGGGGGGGGGGTATCCTCAGCAACCTTACTAATGTTGGGGGAAGGCCTCAGCACCTTACTAATTTTTTTAAAGAGTGGGGGAGGAGGAGGGAAGGGGTGTCCTAGGAGCCCAAGCCTTGTTTACGTTCATAAATAATCGTTTCCTATGCTCACCTTTAAAAGAGCAGTTGGCACCTTAGGCAGTGGTTTTCAGCTAGGCAGCGGCCAAGTAGTCTGCGCCATTTAAACCAACACATTCGATTTTTCAGCACCCCCCTCCCCCCCCCCCCCCCCCCCCCCCCCCCCCCCCCCCAAAAAAAAAAACATGATTAGTCAGTCGTCTTGTAAAAACATACAGGTTAGGGACAGTGACTCTGTTTGACAGAGCTCATCAACGAACCTTACATCCCCCCCCCGACACTTCGATGAGGTACAGGATGGACGAGAAGAAGAAGGTCTGTTTGCTTTCCCCAAAGTCCACACGGCGGTAACAATAATAAAAAATAATAAGCCAAATGGCAAATATGTTTCAAAAAATATGAAATGTATCAACAAATACTTAAAAATATAACTTTTATAAATATTTATCGAATTACAAAAAAATGAGCTTATAATTCATTATTCATACGAGTATTGAGAAATAATCTAATGACATTACTGTCCTAATAAACGATAATATCAATGTAAAGGACGCTTTTCCACACATTCGGGCGCTTTGGGCATCAACGCCCAGACCTATGTTTTACACACGGCCATCTTTAGGCTATAAAGTTAAAGCCGGATGTGGTTTTACAGACCAACTGGCATTTGGTTGGTGATGTGGTCAACCTCAAGCCGGCTGCCTTTAATTCACAGGATTTTCCCCTTTTTTTTTTGGGGGGGGGGGGGGATACGGCTCCGTCAGGACCTACCCATACGACCTTTGAACCCGCAGGCGAGCGTCTAGCCACTACACCGCGGCGACTCCCAATATAAATGTAGATTTGCGACTATGATCTTCTTCTTTTTCGCGTTCACCAGCTGTAAACTCTGGCGGAAAGTTCTAGTTGTTCGTCCACTTTTAGATTGCAGTCCTGTTCCAGAACCTGAGTGTTGCGTGTGCATCGATTTGACAGATCTGACTCATTTGTATACAGGCTGCTGGTTCCTTGCCTCTCAGGCAGAGACGCACTCTGACTTCGAAGGAAACTCCCAATTATTCGACTCTTACGACATGCTTTTGGGTAGGCAGTAGTCTATCTCCCCCCCCCCCCCATAATAGGGCCCCGCAACCCACACGGGGAGTTGCGTCTATGATAACAAATAGTAGATCCCATTAAAATAAGCCACAAGCCGTCTTTTTGGGCAAGTAATTCATATCTTCTTCGTGTTAGTTTTGATTGTTCGTCCACTTCCGGGACTCTGGTGTTGTTCCAGAACTCTCCGTTTCTGCGTGCATATTCATTTTACAGATCTGGCTTATTCGTATGCAGACTGTTGTACGCAGACGAACTCCGACCTTCGAAGAAAACCAAAACACTCACAACTAGTCGCCTAATATGACATGCTTTGTTGGGAATGTGGGTCTATCCCGCTCCCATGACCCAGACGGGGGAGAGGGATTAATATAAGACCCAGTATTATCCGCAGGAAAGACTGGTACCTGCAACAACAATGCATGAGCACGCAACAATGATTGATGAAAACAGTCCTCACAGGCAACGGGGCCGTGTCATCGTTACCTCTTTGTTATGACAGAGAAGATAGTGATGCGTTGGACACGTCCTGAGAAATAACTAGTAGAGAATCACCAAGCAAGCCATAAAATGGGAAATAAAGGGGATTAAGAAGGCGAGAACGCCGAGAAGAAACCCTAAGACGAACGTTATTAGAGAGGCCAAAGCTGCTGGACTGGATTCCATCCATGGAATTGAACTGATCTCACAGGATATAAAGGAAGGGGAAATATATTGAAAGTCCTATGTGACATATAATGTGACATCAGGATAATAAATTAATGAATAAATTATTGCATTGTTGAGGGAGGGGGGTTAATATGCTGCCACAGATTCCAGCGCCACTGATTCTGTGACTTGTTGGGGAGTCGCTGGGAGAGAAGAAGCACTTTACACTCCTGCAGAAGTATTGGCTTTACAGTTTACATGGAACTTTATGCACACTGTGTATCCCTTCCCTTACGTAAACTAGTAAAGTGTGTGTATGAAGTCCGCGGCTGACCAGCTGCAGACACGGGTGACAACAGTACAGTCACGGATGTATTCGCACACACAATTACGCCACAACTACACAACTTGCGGGAAGGGTGACAAATGAAGTAAACATAAGATGTTTTTTTATAAGGGAGCGGTCAGGGAGTAAGTACGCACTAGGTTGTTAACTAACAGTATGGGAACTCTTCGCTGGCTGCTGAAGATGGGGATGGAGCGCTTTTATGGGAATGTCCCGAGTGCTGTGATGTCGGTTCTTGAATCAAATCAAATCTAACAGTTTACAAGAAATACAGCTGACGCAATCAGCGTGCACAGATTACAGAGTTAACTTTACAAATATTTATTAAACATATTACAGAAAAGTAAACGCATAAGTTGAAAAAAATCTGAAGGAAATAAGGGAAATACTATTTACAAAGTTAACAATATTATATACAGTTATCACAAGATAAGTGAGTAACTTACTTTACTTCAAAGATCTCAGAAAAAGTATAATTTTTTTTTTTAAAAAGCATATGTGCTACAGATTAACTAAGCAACTAATGGGGAAATCACATAAAAAGTATATGTGCTACAGATCAGCTAAGCAACTATCGAGGGAAATCACACGTATATGTGCTACAGGTTAACGAAAAATTAACGGAGAAGAGCACACAAAAAGTGTATGTGCTACAATTGAACTAATCAACTTACAGGAAGACTGCAGGAGCAACAGGCTAACTAGAAATTACAGAGAACACCCCCACAGGTGAAGTATACGTGTTGTTGTTTTTTTAAAAACACTAAACACTAATAAGATAATCACAGGCCCAACTTCGCAGCTGGGTACTTTTCTTTTGGTCCAGCCCATCTTTGGGATCACCGAGACTTCACGAGGAGTTCCCGGGAAAGTCCAATATTATGTGGGGGGGGGGGGGGGGGTTTTACACAGACTGTAGTCTACAAATCAACTTACAGGAAATATCACGGTTACATGCTACACGG